CGCGAGTTAGCAGGATTCACAGGGCTGGTACCTGGCGCTCGCGGCTGCTGTCTGCGGTGGCTGCCCTCCCGTGACCCCTTACTGCCAAGGGCCTAGCCGTTTTTAGGTTGACACACTGCAAAATACCAGCTGTCAAACCGGGAATGGCACGCGCAGCGCTTTTCCCTGGGTCTTGGGCAGGGGCTTGTTTTTGGAGGCACAGTCGCCTCATTTGCCCTAATAGGATCTCTAGTCTCAAAGGCTTCGTGGTTTGCTCAGTTGCATAGCTGGAAACCGGGAGAAGAGGACGTGCATCCCCTCTGTCCTAGACTGGTTGACAAACTTTGCTTGCACCCACTTTTAAAAAAGCACTTAGTAAAGGAAGTTGAAAATCACAATAACTGCCCCGCATCTGCAAAGTTGGCTCACACTGCTCAGAAACACCATCTGCATTTTTTTGCTCTTTTTGTTCTAAAACACGAAGAAACCTTCTATCAGATTCTTTTGTATTTACCACCTGGTGTGCCTTCCCCTTGGCTAGCCCAAAATCCTCTAAACTGTCTTTATCCACCTTACCATATTATAGTACTCAAAGCACAAACCTTTCCAAGGAGATCTTATAGCTTCCTCCTTCATTCTTCAGGTGGAAAAGGGTATGAAGGTTGGGAGCGATTTTTAAGAGCCTGGAGGTAGAGCCAGTGAGGGCCTTGTGCCTGAAGCTCTGAGATGACAAGGGAGCACCAGCCAGAGGCCACAGTCCCTGTTCTGTTAGGAATCCCAGTTTATATAAGGGAATTTACATACAGGAAGGGAGCAAGCTACAAAGTTCAACACTGGGCCATCTATTCCTCCCCCCCCTTGCAACATCCTCCAGAAAATTACAGTCTTCAGTGTCCTAGGTTTCTTACATCCCCAGCAAGACACACAAGAAATGTAACTTAGCTGATTATCATCACAAGTCAGTCCAGAAAAAAAATTCAAAACACATGCGCAGGGTTCGTATTCTCAACGGAGCTCTGCAGCATGCATGCCAGGAAGGACATGGAATTCAAGTTAGAGGGGCTCTGACTGGAGCAGAGAAGAGGCATAACCATATATTTGTGGTCGGGACAGAAAAGGAACTGTCTAATGTGCCCCCTTCCTCCCCCTGCCCGGCTGTGTAGCACTCGGAGACGGATGGCCTGTTAAACTTATCATTTCAAGGAGAGAATCAAGTTGTTGAGACTGGTTTTTTTTTCCAACCGGATACCTGATGGGTGGAGCTGGCGCCCCCTGTTCTGTCCCAGCAACCTACTAAGACTTCCGAACAGGAAGGCGACACACGGCAGAGGGGGAGGGGAGGAACAGTGTGCGACGCGCGGGTTAACGCAGCACCGGCTTTCGGTTGCCCTGTGGCAGCTTATCAAACACTTGATCTGTGCTTCCTTCCTGTCGCCAGCCTCTTTCTTTGGTCTAGATAGTCCTCCTCGCGGGAGGGATCCGGCCCCTGCCTTCTTCCTCCCTGGTGGTGAAGTGGCCGGGTGCCTCCGCCAGCCGAAAAAAAAAAAAACAAAAAAAACGTAATCTAGAGGGCGATCGTGTTCTCTGGGAGAACCACTCTGGGACGCACGATTCCCCGCTCTTCTCTCCGGAGCTCTTATCAGTCCCGGATAATTTCCTTGCAACCCCTGTGCGGGCACAGAAAACATAGATGCCTTGAGAGAACACCGGCTAATTGCATCCCAACTCGCCTGAGCCTATCGTCTGCCACGTGGTGCCCCGCTGGGGGGACTGCATCAAAACGAGTGAAATGGGCCAGGGGATTTAGCTCAGTGGTTCCGTGCCTGCCTTACAAGCTCAAGGACCCGAGTTCGATCTAAACTTTGCACTGAGACAAAACATTTTCCGGTGCATGTTTTTATTTTGCTTTTGTTTTTCTGCTGCAGCACTGCGGATTGAACCCAGGGCCCTCACTCGGAGATACATCCCAAACCCATTTTTTTATTTTTTATTTTGAAACAGGGTGTCGCTAAATTGCCCAGGCTGGGCTGGTACTTGTTGATCTCTTGCCTCAGCCTCCCAGAGTGCTGGGATTACAAACTATGCCACCATGCATGTGTATGTGTATTTTAAGACTTCAGAAAATTGACTTTTTGCTTCTTTTTTTTTTTTTATCTTAGTGATGGGCTATGAATACTAAAACCTGAAAGCTTTACTGAAATGTGATTTTTATTCAATATAAAAGCTTATAAATTAGTATTTCTAAATACTTTCATAAGGACTTACACTCCTTCACTGTGTCAGCTGCGTTAGTCATGAATACCTGAATATAATACTTTCCACTATCGACAGGGCAACCCGTTGCTTTGTATTTCTCAGAGTACCAGAAATGATGAACAATCTTGGGCCCAGCTTAGCTTAGCTTTCCATGTTTGGATTCATTGGTTGGTGCATACAGAAATGCTTCTCTGAAACATCCTAAATGAAAGTACACAGAAACACTAATACACAAAATGATTATTCTAAACAAATGAATGCAGTTTTTGCTGGAGGCTGTCACCAAGTCCATGTCTTTTTTTTTTTTTAAGAGTATGCATCAAGTAGAAAATGATGACAATCAAGATTATTCATGATAACTATTATGGACAAGTAACTAGCAATGGTGAGTATTTAAGAATGTCTATAGTGATCATTACCTTTTATATTCATAATTGTCAAAATTGACATGAAGAAAAATTGGTACAGCAGATAAATAAGAGAAGAACAGATTATCCATAATAATAGTGCTAAGGGTTATTAAAACCCACAAAACCACATGCTTTATTTACTGAAGGGCTTTTTAGATGCTTTTTCCCCCCCAAGACAAGGCGATAACACCAATGTTCTATTCCTTCTAGAAAGGGAGGCCCTAGGAAAGTTGATGACAGAGTCAGGCATGGTTTTGTAATACATTTTTTTTTAATGTTTAGCAGGGCAGACAGTGGTGGAAGCCAGTGGGAGCTCTTGACATGCAGGAATGAGGAATAGGTGGAGAGCAAGAAGCCAGTGAGTCTGCAAAAGCCTGGAAACTCACTGTGACTGTGTCTTCTGACCGTTGACCATGTCTGATTGAACATAATGCAATGAACACCAAATAAAATCTTTTTAAAAGTATTCACTGGAAAACAATATAAAGGGTAAGGAATAGTATATATTGCACAGTTTTGTACTTGGCTCTGGGGATTTACCTGGAAAATTATGTCTGGGATACTTTCTATATAATTATGAAAAATGATACATACAATAGCCTGGCTAGAAGAGGAAATTGGAAAAAATCCGTAAATCAAAATTCAATATTGTTGGTGACTTTGTAACTGAAAGAGGACGATGGCCTTACTGAAAACCTTATTATTGCCGGTATGGCGTGGTGGTTGGGCCTTTGCATTTTAAAAGGCCATTTGTCAACTGAGAGAGATTCAGTTGTAGTG